AAACTATTCAAGCCTAACCATACCTTCTGAGACTCCTGCTGCCTTTTTGTCTCCATCTTTCACTTGCTTAGACACATTGAGAAATAAAGTCGATTCAGCGCACAGTGGTGATGGCACCAGATTCAATTTCGCCTGCCCAGCCTCCCCTGCCCATACCCTGGATTGCCTCCTTTCTGGGGGGTGTCATTGATCTACTTCGTACATTTTCCTCCTTCTCCTCTGTACGTGGAAGGGCCTTAGTAAATATCTCTTGGACAAATGATCAACTGACTTTCTCACTCTAGAGCAATAACCAATAGGGTTGACTGTAAGCCTGTTCTAGAAATATTCCTTTTTAATACGTTTGGAAAAAAGGAGGAGTACATTTCTGTTAAATCTGGCAAACCAGTGAGCAGAAGGCACAGGGCCCCTTTGGGGGCCGGGATGTCTTCTTAGCACCTTAAGATCTGGGGAGGAAGCCCAATCCTTGGGGAGAATGCCAGACCTGGGAGGCCCCCTGAAGCCACTTCAGGGCAGAGGCACAGATATGAATGCTGAAGGGTCAATTTCACTGGGCAATGCCCAACAAACCAGTCTCAGATATGAATGCTGAAGGGTCAATTTCACTGGGCAATGCCCAACAAACCATACTTTCATATCCTTTTCCATTATTCCTTAACTTTTTAAGGAACTTTTCCATCATAATTCTATTTTTTTAAAGATTTTTATTTATTTATTTGACAGAGATCACAAGTAGGCAGAGAGGCAGGCAGAGAGAGAGAGGGGGAAGCAGGCTCCCTGCTGAGCAGAGAGCCCAATGCAGGGCTCGATCCCAGGACCCTGAGATCACGACCCTGAGCTGAAGGCAGAGGCTTATTAACCCACTGAGCCACCCAGGCACCCCTCTGTCATAATTCTAGACAAGATTATTTCCACTGTGAGTGGTAGCCAAGAAAGGTTGTATAATTTTCTACACTGGAAATCTTTTTTTTTTTTTTTTAAGATCTTATTTATTTATTTGAGAGAGAGCACGAGAAAGGGGAGGGTCAGAGGGAGAGGCAGACTCCTGGCTGAGCAGGGAGCCCGATGCAGGGCTTAATCCTAGGACTCTGGGATCATGACCTGAATGGAAGGCAGACACCTAACCAACTGAGCCACTCAGGCACCCTCTATACTGGAATTCTTGAAAACATTTTATTTCAGTGATTTGTTTTTATTTCCCTTTTCCCTTTTCCTCTTTAATTTTTAGCAGTCTCAGTTATTTTGAAAGCATGCTCTACTTTGTCATCACTTCTAATTTGTGAGGTGATTTTACTGAAACTTTAATCAGAAAATAACACTTTAAGATGGGTGAGTGATATTTAAATAGTTACTGTATTGTTGCAGATACTATATTAACTTCTAAAATGAGCATTTCTTAAAAGGAAAAAAAAAAACTGTACTTAAATGTTTTAATGTTCCCAAATTGGCCCTCACAAAATGAGTTGGTGGCACTGTTGCTTTAAGCCAAGGAAATACTTGGGTCTTATTGAGTGAGACTTGCTGTTGATGACATTCTAAAAAAAATTATAGTTTTAATTCATCTCCATAGTTCTTCTTAGTAATATGCCATTAGTAATGCCATTTATTGAGTACCCACCATTTGTCAGGCATTCTGCTAGACTTTTAAAGTTTATTAGCTTAATCCTAACAATTTAAGGTGTACTTATTATTTATTTCCTTTCTGCAAATGAAGAAACAAACTCTGAAGGATTAAGTGACTGGCCCTAGGTCCCGTAGCTACAAAATGGCCCATTTAGTTCAGTGTGACTTCAGAGCCTCATATTTTCTCTTAAAAAACAGAGTGCTGAAATTGCAAATACATTCTTGAGAAGATAGTATTGTAGTAATCAGTCAGTGGAGAAAGCTATAACTAAAATGTTTCAGCTTTATTCATTTTATTTTTATTTTTGAAAGATTTTATTTATTTATTAGAGAGGGAGCATGAGAGCAGGGTGAGGGGCAGAGGGAAAAACAGTCTCCCCGCTGAGCAATGGTACTCTGAGACCGTGACCTGAGCCAAAGGGAGATGCTTAACTGACTGAGCCACCCAGGCACCCCAGTTTTTTCTTTTTTTATTTTAAAGATGATGCTCCAGAATGGTTTAATGAAGAGCATATAAAATATTTTGGTATGCATGTGTCATCCCCAGGAAGGTGGCTTTGAGGAACCACTACTTCTGTTTATATAGTAAACTGACTAATTTAGGAGACTGATGGAGTACGGATGGTAGGACAGATTAATGGAGAGGGATGTCGTAAAGTCACAGAAATACGTAAGATTGATTTAGAGTTGGAATGGATTACAAAGCTCCCAGAGTGTGGGAAGCAGCAGCTTCATTTACTAAGAATTTGCAAAAAGTAGGTGTTATACTACTTATTCACAGACCTACTTGTCAGGTCATTCAACAGATACAGGGTTCCCCCTGATGTGCCAGGCATCAGGTTAGGCACTGGGGATACAGTAGTAAATACCACAGTGTCCTTATATTCCTGGAGCAGAAGGAGACAATAAACAATAAGTATGACAGGTCTTGATAAATGCTCTGGATTGGGGAGGGGGTGTCAGAGTAAATGGAGTGATCTGGGAAGTCCTCTCCAGGAAGTAACATTTGAGCAGAGCCCTGAGTAATAGGAAGGGGTGAGCCCTGCAGCTCTCCAGAGTCCAGACAGAAGGTAACAGCAGCAAGTAAGTGCCAAGACTCTGAGGCAGGAGTGTGCTCGGAGGATGTGAGGAAGAGCAAGGAGGCCAATATGGCTGGACCAGGGCGAATGAGGACAGCAATGATAGTAAGAGATTTGAGGTGCCCTGAGGATTGGGGATTTTATCTGTGGTATGGTTGTCAGCTACGGGAGGGTTTTGAGCAGAAGAGTGACATGTAATTTACATTTTTCAGCCCTCATTCTGGCTGCTATGTGGGGAGTAGACTGTAGGAAGGCAAGAGTGGAAGGCTGTTGCAGAGCCCACATGAAGTGTGTTGGTGCCTCAGGCCAGGGTGGTGGCCATTAAGGGTTAAGACATGGTTGGATTCAGATGTATTTTGAGAGTGGATCTTACAGGGTGTGCTGATGAATCAGACGTGAGGTATGAGGAAATGAGAATTCAGGGACTCCAGGGCTTTGGCTTGGGTAGCTGGAAGAATGGAAATGCCACAGGAATAATATTTTGTTTTATAAACGTGGGCTCTTCCTCCAGGTTACCTCAGTTTTAGGACCCGCTGTGCCTTTGATTGCCTGTGTGACTTTCAATAAGGTGCTTTAACTGCCTGGATTTGAATCCCAGCTGTGCTGTTAAGTACATTTCTGACCTTGGGCAGGCCACTTTAATTTTATTATGCCTTAATTTTCTCATCTGTAAAATAGCTATTATAGTAGCATCTACCTCATATGGTTATTATGAGGGCTAAATGGGTTAAAAATATAGAGTGCTTAGAACAGTGCCTGATGTTTAGTAAGTTCTCAGTAAATTTCAGCAGAAATTTTTATTATATGAATAGTAATCTGTTTTATTTGCTACCAGGACCCCTAGCACCTTAAGCAATGTTTGGCACCTGATAGGTGCCCAGATATTTCTTTTGTGAATAAACAAGGAAACAAATGAACTGATAAATGTTAGCCCTTTCCTTCATAGCACATGCTCATATGTTCCCTGTTTTACGTAAGCCCTTTCAGTCTTCTGGTGTTTTTTTCCCCTCCTCATTGATATCCTCTGACTTCAGCGAGAGTGGGTCCAACTTGCTACTTTTTTTTGTTGTTGTTCTTTTTTGTGAAGCAGTTAACGTATTGAGCCATATTTGATGGATATTAACTAAACTTACTATGGTAGTCACTTCATAATATATGCATATATTAAATCATCGTATTGTACACCTCAAACATACACAGAATGTGTCAGTTATATCTCAGTAAAACTGGCAAAATAATGTTTTCATTTAAAAAAAATGAAAAACCCATATTTTACTTCCACATTTATTTTATTTTTCTTTTAAAACATATGTAGGTATATATTGGGGCTTATTCAGTCTGTTTCTTTGATAAAACCATTTGTTATTTGTCAGGCTGTTTGTTTTCTTGCCACGGAGTGCGCTGCCCTTTATGCTTTCTGTGTTTTAGTGATGAAGGGTTCTAGCAAAGTCTGGCAGTGATTGTTCACTTAAAACTCCTGCTCCTGATTGAGACTCACATTTCTCTCAGGAAGCCTTGGACAGTACTTAAATGTTAATAAAAGACAACGCTAAGAATTCCTCTTTGTTTTTATGTTATACTACTTTGCGTGCTGTTTGGATATTTATTCCATCAGTCATTATATGCTTCTTTCTGTTTCCTTGTGATATGGTAAGATTTTCTTTGATTTTAATTTATGAGGACATCAGAAGAGTAACAGGGAAAGGTTAAGATTTAAACAATCATGCGGTAGCTTCCAAAGTAGTCTGCTTCCCTTTCCTGCTTTTGTGCTTTTCCCTATTGCCTGGATCTGGTCTCTCAGATTAGACCAGCTATCTGCTCCTTCTGTTCGCCCTCAGATATGGATGTGGAGGGAAAGTGTGAAGATGAAGGTCAAATGTGGTTGTAATATTAATAGGAATGTAGATTGTGAATACAGATTGAAAATCTGTCACTACAGATAAAGAAAAAAACGATCTTAGTTGAAATTTAGATAATATCTCTATTTTTAAGAGGAGAAAATTGAAGCACATTAGATAGAAGGTCACAGACTATGTTGGATGGGGACTAGAACTTAGTTTTTACGTTTCCGGTAAGTTAAGTATTCAGTTTTTCACTGGGATATTAGATTTTCACTTGAAATTCATTTGCAGTGGAGTGAGATCATCTAAGATGATAACATTAGGAAACGTGAGTTATACAAAAACAGTGCCAAGAGTATACAAAAAAAATTCCATTAGTTGATGTTAAAAATATATTTTTTCTTCTTTTTTGTGATCTGAGTGGTGGTGGGAGCAGAGCTTGTTGCTTAAAGTGGTCATGCAGATGGCCGATTGTCCCAGCATCAAAGGGAAGGATGTAAATGTATAACTGATTGATGGGCAACATGGGTGGCTGCCGTCCATTAGATACTGATGGCCAGTCTTGAACTCACAGAGGGTGTTTAAAATGACTTAATAGTTGCAGGATGGACTGTTGGTATTCTCAGGGAGGAAACTACTCTCCTAGCCAACTCTAAGGTGAAAAGCTGAGTCCCCACCTAAACTAATACTGAAACTCTGCCTTCCTCCCTAGGTTGTTGTGAGGATTTAATGATTTTTTTTTTTTTTGGTATAAAAGCAGATTGTAAATAAAGTGCTCTTTCACATAAAAGGAGCAATATTTAAAAACTTTTTCATCACTAAAAATGTTTTATTGGCACTGTTACAAAGAAAATAAGATATTTGATCTATTTATGATTTTTCATGCATTATTTAATGGTATTTATTTCTTAATAGCAGTTGTTGGTTTTTTTCCAAGAAGCCAATGTTTAACATTACATGTTCTTTCATTCTAGGGGGCTCGTGTTGGCAGAATAGATGCTTTCGTTCAGAGCTTGGACAAAAATTTTATGGTTCCAGTAGGTGGCGCTATAATTGCTGGCTTTAATGATTCCTTCATTCAGGAAATCAGCAAGATGTATCCAGGTAAAGAAATAACTAACAAAAATCCATTTATACCTAGGCTACTATAAAAAAAAAAAAAATCTTAATTTCTAAAGGTTTTCCCCCCTTCCTGAATATAATTTATTTATCTTATCTCAGGAAGAGCTTCAGCTTCACCTTCTTTAGATGTCCTTATTACTTTATTATCACTTGGATCAAATGGCTATAAGAAGCTATTAAAAGAAAGAAAGGTAAGCTTTCCCTTTTGGTATAAAATAGGTCTAAAATCTTGACTAGAATTATTCCAAATTATTGGTGTTTTTGCCTTTGGTTTGCCACGTTGAGAGTATAGATGGCTAGTGTGATCCTAAGGGATTTACTTTGATGTGGAATCATTCCAGGTGATTTCAGTTAATCATTTTGTCCTGTTTATTCAGATATTGTGAGTGATCTTGGACAGGTGAGTTTGCTTTTTTTTTTTTTTTTTTTTAGAAACTCTTACATCAGAGATTCTTACTAAGTTTAGTAAAATTCAGTTCATTTATCACTTAAAGATAGAGGGTCTTGAGAGACAAATGGACAAGTTTTTTTCTTCTTAGTTTTTGGAAGTCTGAAGACGTGTGTAGGTGTGAGATGACAGTCACAGAGGAAGAACCAGGTCAGAAGTTGGCCAGCTTCTCATTCTAAAGTAATACATTCATCTCTTGTCATTACTGGAATGCTGAACTCATTGGTTATGTTGGCTGTGAAAAGAAAAGTGACATTTGTGCTTGAAAACTGGACTTTGTCTCCAACACTAAAAACTGGCTTAATTAATTCAGGACAACTCCAAAATTGTAGACAGAGACAGTGTTGGCAGGGTGGGTCAGACTAAAATGTTTTATTCATCTCCCATCTGGGAGACCTAGAGGCCCCTGGTACAGTTTTTGTATTTGTGTAAATTTCTAACATTTAGTAGTAATTATAATCCCTGAGATTTATAATATATTTATGTATTTTTTTTGTATTTTCTGATAGATCCTCTCAACAGCCTTATGAATATGTAACAGAAGTTGAAAAATTTTGTTCCTACTTTCCTCTAGTTATCCCTTTCCCCCCACCAGTTCAGTCCATAGGAAAGTAATTGCTTACTTTGTATTATGAGGACATCTCTTAAGATTTATGAGATATAGGAAAAGAGGCTCAACCTCAGTCTTTAGGAAATGCCCCTGAAAACCTGGGAGATACCACTACACACCTAGTAGGAGGGCTAATATAAAGAACACTGACAATACTAAATGCTGGCAAAGAGCTCAAGCAAGTAGAGAACTCTCAGACATTGCTGGTGAGAACACAAATGGTACAGTAACTTTGGAAAACACTTTCACGGCTTTTATAAAGTTAAACATATGCTCACTGTATAAAGTAGCTTTCCCACTCCTAGCTATTCACTCAAGGGAAATGAAAATTTATGTCTGTACAAAAACCTATACATGAATGTTCATAGTGATTTTATTCATAATTGCCAAACCCTGGAAACAACTCAAATGTCCATCATCTGGTGTATAAACAAACTGTGGTGCATATATACTCAGCAATAAAAAGGAACAAATTACTGATATAAGCAACAAAATAATGGCTCTCAAATGCATTATACTAAATGAAATAAGCCAGACTCAAAAGGCTGCATGTTGTTTGGTTTCATTTATATGCCATTCTGGAAAAGGCAAAAAATATCAGGACAGAGAAAAAAATCAGTGGTGGACAGTTGTGGGTTGAGGGAAGGGACTCATGGGATGGGAAAATGGGCTGTATCTTGGCAATGGGAGTAGTTTCACAACTGTGTATGTTTGTCCAAATTCATAGAAGTGGACCCCTAAATAATGGGCCTCTGAAATTTTGCTATATGTAAATTATGCCTCAATAAACCTAACAAAGATTTTCAAATGATTAGAATAAAAGTCCGGTTTGATATACTCCCAGAGGTAATCATCATGGTCATAGATTGTTGTAGCTACAAAGAGAAGACCTCAATAAATGTTCCAAGGAACCTTTTCCACATGACGGATGAAGCCTGATTATAAATGAGCAAAACTATCATGGGTTTATATTGTTTATATGAGAACTTAGTTGTATTAGATGCCAGTGGGCCTTAGCTCTCCTATAACTGATTGTTTCACTATGAAAAAGATGTTTGAACTCACAGATTTTTTTGTGAGGTGTTCCCATTACCCTCATTTTTACAGGAAGTAGAAGGATAGAGAGCTAACATGTATGAGGTAAACTGTGAGACATGGGTTCAAAGCTAGGCAGTTGAGCCTTTGATCCACTGTCTTAACCTCTGAACTCTACTGCTCTTTCCTTATGTAGATAAATAGTCTGGCCTGGTAGCTATATAGTTATCTTATATAGCTATAAATCTGAAGACTTGGGTCTACTAATAGCCAGTGAAGGCAAAAACAATGAATAAATTTAGTGATCGTGGCCAAAAAAGCGCAGTTATATTTTAGAAAGGATATAACGTATTTGCCTTGTGCAGAATCACTGTTGTTGGGAATGGCCCATCCCTGACTCCAGGTGATCCTAGTGAGACTATCAATCACAGCACCCCTTCCTGCTCTGTCCAGAGCAGTGGGCATGTGATCTGGCTAACTTGGTTTGCAGGTGGGCATGTAGAGGTAGATTGCATCCAGCAGGTTTGATAGGTCCTTTAGAGAGAGAGGGTTTGCTGCTTTGCAGATATATAAGGAGATAATACTCAGCTGCCATATTTCTGGCCATGCCAAGAAAGCCTTCTTAGGACTCGAGAATACAAAAGGGAAACAAACTAAAAGTCATTTGAGTCTCTGGATCGAGCCATGCTTGCTTGTAGACTTGGCTGTGAGATGAACCAACAAATTCCCTTTTCCGTTTTAAACTAGATTTCTGGGGTGCCTGGGTGGCTTAGTCAGTTAAGCGTCTGCCTTTGGCTCTGGTCATGATCCCCAGGTCCTTGGATCAAGCCCCACATCGGCCTCCCTGCTTAGCAAAGAGTCTGCTTCTGCCTCTCCCTCCTGCTCCTGCTCTTTCTCTCTCTCTCTCTCAAATCGATAGAATCTTAAAAAAAAAAAATAAACTCGATTTCTAACACTGATATTTTGATTCCCCTTACACCCTTGAGTCCTTTGTAATGTTTCTCAACATACATTTCCTCCTTTCCCCTTCCACTGCCACCACGTGTAGCTCAGACCCTTACCGTAGTACACCTGGATGCTTACAGTAATTGACCAATTCTTCTCCCAATCCCCAATTTTAGTCTACTCTAATATGCTATGTTATAGCATAGCAGAGTGCTAGATTAATATTTTAAAGTTCTTCAAGTTATTCTGCTTTGGGTTATGGTTGCCGGCAAGACAAAGTCCATATTCCTTAGCCTGCCATCATGATCCTTTATAGTCTGCTCTCACATTACTTTGGCAGTATTGGACCCTGTCATTCTTTATTCAGGCAGAGAAATGTTTATGCATAGGCCCTAAGGTAAATTCACAAATGAGACTTGCATAGTCTCTACCGTCATGGAAATTATAGTCAGGGGAAATCTAGATATTAAATAAACAATTAAAAATCTGTCCGGCATTATGAAAAGGACAAGCAGAAGGTAGGGGAGCGTGTGGCAGCTAACCCAGTTCCAACAGGGATGGGGAAGGCCTCCCTGAGGAAGAGACATCTGTTCTACAGAAGTACAGCTCATCCATTTATTAGACTCCTATGGTGTCATCATTAACTCGAATGGATGGCTAAAATAACTGTTGAACTGTTAAAGGGTATTTTAGACTGAATCTAGAAAGCAAAGTACTATGCCAGTTATTGGAGAGTTTGTTCTAGGTAACTTCATAAAACTGGTCTTCCTTTGGGATAAATTCAGAGTCAGTCACTCTGGAGTGGGGCTCAAACACCTGCATTTGTAACAGACTTCCCTGATGAATTTGATGCACACCCTAGTTTGAAACCCATTGTTTAGGGGACACAGAGGTCACTTGTATCTATAGCAGAAACTTGGAAAAGAAATATAACAGTGTCCTAGCATTTGAATACATAGGTTGATAATATTTTATGGAGTTTGAGACAGACTGTATAAATATCCCAAATATCAAAGCTTAACAATATAACTTGTTAGTTACCTCTTTATTTCTGATCTTTTCCATTATCCTAGATACAGTCTTATATTGTGGCTGCTCTTTACCTTACAATGATCCCTCTGCAGATTTGGCTAAAAATTCATTTTTGGAATCTATAATAGCTCTGATAAGACTATTACATAAAGTTTTAAGTTAGACATTTAAAGATTATTCTTTATAATATAGATAGAAACTTTAAAACTTTTTATATGCTCTTTTTATTATATCAAGCAAATATACTATTTAATATTTCCTATTTCTGTTCTTGAATTGAAACTGTATATGATAACTAATATTATTATATATTTGCTCTAATAACTTAGTTTAGTTTTAATAAACTAAAACAGGTCTTGAGTGATTTTGTAGTTAAATTTATTGAACTAGCAAATTAAGCTGATTATCTGAGTGCATGCCCCCCAGAATCACCATCAGGTCTCTGAAATGAAATTTGGTCCTTGATTATAGGTAGTCTGGGAGACTAGCTTCCACCTTGGAGTTTGCATTCATCCCTCTACTCTTCATGTCCTTTGCTTGATATTAGTAGATGCTCATCAGATGTTGGTGGAATGAACTAATGGATGGTATTTGGGAACACCTAGGTTTAGTTTCATATAGTCATCTCTTACGTTGCACAGAATAAGTATCTTTCTGGATAATTAGAAAGTAAATTAACTTTTTGATCCTGACTTACATTATGAGTTAGATGTTGTCATAGAAATATTTCTCTATATATTTTTAGTTGGAAATTTGTGAAAAGAAGTGAGTTGAAATGGTGATACCTGTTGTGTGTGACCGTTATTATACTTCTGGAAGTAGTTCTTCCTCCCTAGCAGGTATTTCTCTTCCAAGATAATTTCCTTACCTTGGGATTTTGGACTTGTTGATTTTAGGGGTGCCCTGTCATCTTTTTGGAATCTAAGAATTTCCATGATGCCATGGTTCTTTTGACTTTTCACATTGAGGTTTTGACTTTAAAATTTTCAGATACTTTTAGGGAATTCCAAATACCCATGCGTGTGTAACTTTTGCTTAGCATGAAAAAGAAAAACCACCTGCTTTGGGAATGACCTGTAGGAATATGTAGCTTGACTGGTAAATAGATCCAGCAGGTAGCC